ATCATCCAAGCATCTCAGCACTATATCTTTATGAGCCTGAACAGCCTTTGGATGGGTTTGAAGAATTTTGCCCATTGCCAGCAATCCAAGATACTTGAGATTTTGATCAGAATCCTCGATCAACACTCCAAGTTTTTGAACACATAGCTAAAAAATAAAAAGGACGAATGCAAGGTAGCTGAAACTGGTGTAGCCCTACTAGCGTACCTGTATACTGGCTGCATGGTCACCACCAGCCGATATGCTTATCAACACTAAAAACGAATTACTAGATGGGAAACATTGAACACTGCAAAATTTAATCTGGTAATTTACCACCTACCAGCTATAACGGTGTTAATGCATTCATAGAGTAAGGACATGGCGGAAGTGCTGAAAAAATTTCATCATTGAAAGTCTCTCAGACAACTGATTGCTATTACTTACAAACGTATAAAGCTTTTGGTTTTAACCTCCATGTTTGTCTTTTCAATCTGAGCATTTTCAATCTTACTCAATCAGATGAACCAATAAAAATCTGCTTGGCAAAGAAGCATCTGATAACTGAAGATTTCAGTTTCTTCATTTTACTAACCTTTTGTTTTCTTTCAGTAGACCGTTAGTACCGAAGACACCGAATTTCAGTGATCTGGCCGGAAAGCTACAGTAACAACTAGGGTAACGGAACTTCTCCCCTATCGCGGCATTCTCCCTTGCGGCTTGCGGCAAATGTCACTGCAATTACCGTACTCCCGCCAATCGATAGGACGCGGAATTTTTCGTTGATTGCCTTGCTTTTTTATTAGATTTAATCGTTTTTTCTTCTGTTTCTTTCTCGTTTTCGTGTTTATTAGACTTGATTAATTAGAATGACCCCTCCTACATAAACGACGATCAAGACCGCATTGGAATTGAAAAGAGCGGCCAGCCAATTCAAATAATTAAAGGACTCCCTACCTCACAAATTGCGCGCTCCAATCTTCCATCGCAATTCCGCGATAGGCGGCGGGTGCGGAGTCTGCGACGCCGTGTTAGGGGAGAAGTTCCCGGACCCGTAACAACTACTGTCACCTACATACCTAACTAATCATTAGGGTATTTCTCCATACTTCCTACTACATAGTAGTTTGTTAGAATGGGCGAGGTGGCATAGATGCAATGGGCGCACCATGACCCGCGGTTTGAATCCCGGGTCAGTAATCGCCTAGACGAACGAAGCCTTCCATCCCTTCGGGTCAGTTGATTGGCACCACACTCGCCTGAGAAGGCAAAAGCACTAACTTGGTATTAAGGACAACATTTTCAGTAATTTCACACATTGGATTGACACAAAGCCTTGAAACTCTCGAATGCATGTTTTGAATTCTTTGACAATCTTAAACTATATAATATATAATCACCAAAACTATCTATAAACCAAAAGTGGCGAACCTTTAAGCCAGAAACTGCTTGAGTTGCATAAAAAGGTGTTAGCCAGAAATGGCGGGCGAGGTCGGGGGAATAGGGACCATGAGGAACAGTATTCCACCCAGATCCTGTAACCTGGATTGCATGGTCTTTGCGATGTGAGGCCCAGCGCTATCATGTAGAATATTAACAAAAAATATCCACGGTCTTTTTTTTTT